CAATCAGAATAGAGAATTTTGAAAAGCCATATAATAATTAACAATTATTCGCCGAAGGCGAGGTGATTATCGGTGAATAAAAACCGAGACGAAGTCGAGGTTTTTATTCACGATAATCACCGAGCCTGAGGTGAAATGTTTTAGTATAATTTCATAGGTGATTATTTGGAAAAAAAATAAGAAAGTACACATTTCTTTGTCATTTAATTGACAAAAAGGCTTCGGCCGCCATATTGAAAATCGCTTAGGTGATTATCGCGGAATGGTTGGCGCATTTAAATCTTGTTCGCCGGCTGACGGCAAAGTAAATTCTAAAGAAAATGAGAGAGAATCGCATGAAAATTACAGTTCGATTCCCGTTGAACTTCTTGTTCAAAAAATTCCTGTGAGAATAACCCATCGCGTATCAAACTTTCAAAGAAAAATAAATGCAAAACCTAGACAATTAAGAACACTACAGCATCAATCGGTTCCAGTACCAGGGAAAAGTTTCAACCGTAGAAATAACTTAATTTATATTAGTGGCCACCAAACCAAAAAAACGCCCTTACTCTCTTCTCTACCGAATTTATTTGTTTCTAATTCAAGATCGCTGATCAGCAAGATTGACGAACTGTCTGCTACAGTAAAATCCTATACATCAGACATTGTCGTTGTTACCGAAACGTGGCTTTCTTCAAATGTTCCTAATTCAGCAATAGATTTATGCGGTTATTCCTTACTGAGGCATGATCGTTCCGACGGCAGACGAGGAGGTGGAGTCTGTGTCTTTGTAAAGGACATGCTTCCGTTCATTCATCTTAAAGAGATTGAAAGTCACGAATATGAGTCGCTTTGGTTACTCTTAAAACCTCACCGCTTGCCTCGTGGTTTAAATTCAATTGTATTGGGAATCGTGTACCATCCACCTGGAAGTGACGATAAAGCCCTTCTTTCACACCTTACCGAATCAATCGATTCTGTCCTTTCCACCAATCCCGGTGCAGGAATTATTTTGGCCGGAGATTTTAACCAATTTAAACATCGCCAGTTATGCAGTTCCTTTAACCTCAAGCAGTTAGTCAAAGACGCTACTAGAGGAAAGAATATTTTAGATAAAATATTTACCAACATTTCTAAATTTTATAATTCTGCCCTGGTAATTTCTCCAATTGGACATTCCGATCATAATTCCATCGTTCTTAAACCTCTTCCAGCTAACTCTTATGGTGGCACAAGGTCTACACGTTTAGTACGAGACTCTCGCCCAACCAATCGTCGAATTGTTAGCGATCATCTGTCGAAAGTTAATTGGTTACCTTTGCACCATATGGAATCTTGTGACGAGCAGTTCCAGTATTTTTCCACCATCGTTGATAATATCATAAACGAACATTTGCCTTGGAAACAAATCAAAATTGATTCTAGTGACAAGCCTTGGATTACTTCCGAAATAAAATCTCTCATTTCCAAGCGGCAGACAGCATGGGCTCTGGCAATAACCTGATGTTCAGATTCTATCGAAACAAAGTCAATGCACTTTGCAAAAAAGCACGACTAAATTACTACAATAAAAGTATCGCGGGCGTTCAACAGTCCGATTCTCGTAAATGGTGGTCAGCGGTGAAGAATATTGCCGGTCTTCAGTCTTCTAAGAATGTATCTACAATGATGTTCCAAGGTAAATCCTACTCTGATGCCGAGTTAGCAAATTTGCTCAACGACAAGTTCGTTGCTGTAGGGTCCTCCTTACCCAATCTAAACTGGCTCCCCCTTCCCACAAATGACATTCCAGATGATTTCTGCATCTCTGTCGAGGAGACTGAAAAGGCCCTATTATCATCTAAACTTCATTCATCTGCTGGTCCCGATGAAATTCCTTCTTGGCTTCTCCGGGAAAACGCTTCAGTGTTGTGTCGACCTTTGTGTTCTATTTTTAATTCATCAGTTCGTGAAGGATTTGTTCCCTCAATATGGAAGGCAGCAAATATTACACCAGTTCAAAAATCTTCGCCTCCTAAAGATGTTGATTCTGACTTCAGACCAATCTCCCTCACACCAATTATCAGCAAGATTCTTGAATCCTTTCCCTACAAATGGCTCCTTGACTCCGTCTCAAAAAAAATTGATTCCTTGCAATTTGGTTCGCTGAAGGGTTCAAGCACTAGTATGGCATTAATCTACATGCTACATAAATGGTTTGAAGCAGCTGACAAACAAGGCAACACTATACGGATTTGTTTACTTGATTTTTCCAAGGCGTTTGACAGATTAGATCATAACATTCTGTTGGAAAAATTGAAAGACATGGAAATTCATCCCGTGTTACTCAACTGGATCGCAAACTTCCTAACAGGCAGACAACAAAGAACCCGTGTTGGTCAGTTCTTTTCTGAGTGGAAGTTTTTAAACGCCGGCGTCCCACAAGGAACGAAGCTTGGCCCGCTATTATTTTTGATCATGATAAATGACTTGGCTGTAGTGGATGAAACTGTTAAATTTGTCGATGATACTAGCCTTTGGGAAATAATATCAAACAATTCCCCTTCCCAGTTACCCGCTAACATCATCAGCTGCTCTGAATGGTCATCAGACAATAATATGAAGTTAAACGTATCAAAGACCAAAGAATTGCGTGTCTGCTTTTCTAAGCTTACTCCATCGTTTGCCCCTATTACCATTCGCGGTCAAGAGGTCGACGTCGTTTCCGAGGCCAAACTATTGGGCGTTGTCCTTTCGGACGACCTCAAATGGAACTGCCATATTGACTACATTTGCAAGAAAGCCGCGAAGCGTTTGTACGGTCTGCGCCTTCTTAAAAGAAATGCTTTACCTTCTCATATTCTGATCTCAACCTATTTTACACATATTCGACCAATTGTCGAATATGCTTGTCAGGTGTGGCATTATGGCCTTCCTCATTACCTGAGTGATCAAGTTGAAAAAATACAAAAAAGGGCATTAAAAATTATTTTCCCTGGAACTATCTATGCTGAATGTTTGCTTAAAGCTAACTTGATGACTCTTTACGAACGTAGAACTGTCCATTGCAAGCGACTTTTTTCGAAGATGTTGGAACCCACTCATAAACTGAATGCCTTAGTACCGCCTAAAAGTCTTCAAACTTATAATCTGAGGTCTTATCCCAACTTATTAGTACCTAGGTGTAGAACTGAACGTTTTCGAACAGTTTCATTCCTGCTGCGTCTCGTGCTTATAATAATAAGTAAACTTTAGATTATTATCGTTATTTTTATCTAACTTACCTATTTTTACCTGTAAATATAGAATAGATTGAATACCTATGTTCTTATACCCTGTAATTCCAAAGTAATTCAGTTGTTACTGCTAGTTTGGAAATTTTAAATAATAATAATAATCACCTCAACGGCAACCAATCAGCGTGGAGAATTTTCAATAATCACCTATGTAATTATACTAATACCCAATATAGCCCTCAGTGATGATATTATTTTAAATATCATCACTTCCGGTAATATTTCGCCGAATCCCCTTCGCTCCAGGTCTATAAATAATAATAATTTCTGTGGTTGACAAAACGATCTAACTCGGGGTTGTAATAATATGCCCGCGGTGGCCAAATTAGTATAACCTATGCGCTTCCATTTCACAATACTAGCTATAGACGCTTGCCAAGCATGTTCTGCATTTACATTTTAGAGAAAAGTACGTTTAGTGACAGTGTGTGCATGACAGCAGATACTATACAGAACTGGATCGAGCCTGTACACTCTTAGACTAAAACTTATTTTCAGACGGAGTAATGCATGGACGGTTAGCATATAAATAATGGCGTTCATCAATTGAGTTATAATATTGTAGTGTACAGGGGCCGGTTGTTAAAAGGTGGATTAGCGCTAACCCATGCAGGGTTAAAATTTAACCCGCTGTTTTAGTTTGCATATTTCCGCATCACCATTTATTTCAAAATGTCAGAAAAGGAAACTCCTATTGATCCAGACATGATTTGTGAAGAAATATTTCCAAATTTAAAAACAAGCTGTTAGGAAGTGTACTTTGAATTTTAAGTTAACGTAGGGTTAAGCTAATCGGCTTTTGAACAACCGGCCCCAGTAGACTAAAATATAAATAAAGTGTATTATAAAACACCCTTATATTTTAATGGACAAGAAGTTTTTTTATTATACACTCACACGCTCTTAACCAATCAGTAATCGTTGAGAGGGTCACGTGCCGATCCAATATTTTACGATATTAGACAGGAACCTATTGGACAGTTGCCAATTGGGGCTTTTTTCATGGTTTTTCAACACTTTTCAGAAGTTTTGTCAATTTCAAACATACGACAAACGATATGGCAGAATGATGAAAAGAATTTGGGATATTAATACAGTTTTTCTACCAGTTTTGTTTAAAATTATAAAAGCGCGGGAAAACTTGTCTTCGCGAAATTTATTTGTTTGCAACAGCCTAGAAGTTAGTAATATTATTTTTTCGTTAAAATTAGGTCAAATTTTCTTTAAACATACATGGAATTGAGTTTATTTATGCACACATATTTGTAAAAACAGGTTTATTAACTTTTTTTAGTTATTTAAGCAAATTCACCGCCGATATGTAGTTATGTTGTCGCTGTATTAGTCTCGCTGTATTTACTTTATCGCTTATTGGCAATTTTTGTTATAGAATTATTTTGTTCGGTATAATAAAACTCCTATTGGATTCATCTTCACCCAATATGGCAAAATATTAAGTCTCGACTTCAATATTAGGCTCGACCTTCGGTCTCGCCCAATATTGAAGTCTCGACTTAATATTTGGCCATATTGGGCTCAGAAGAATCCAATAAGATATAATATTGGTATATAGCTGTTCTAAGGGGACAAAAACTTGTTGTTATAATGCCAATATAGGCAATAATAAACAACATAAAAAGAATGTTCTCGTAATAATAATAATAATAATAATAATAATATTATTAAATATGAGTAAATTATTGTACCGCGGGGTTTATTATATTTTAGATCACCATATTCTACTCACCTGTCTGCTGACCAAATATAAGCAAAATTTGCAGGTATTTCAACGACACTGACAAGAAAAACATTCAGATATCTATTCCCACCAAGATCAACAGAACCATAAGCCACACCATAGTACACAAGGGAGTTAGCAAACCTATTAACAAAATTCATGAAAATAAAAACAGGTTGCAATATCCCAAAGTGCACATGCCAAGCTTGTAGCTGAGGGGTGGCCTGGGGGGCAGTGCTCCCCCATCTGGAAATAAAATTAAAATTATGTCCCCCAAATTGTTCTTCTTCATTTTAATTATTTTTGGCCGAAGCTACAATTGACCCTCCATGGTTTACTTTAAAACGGCAATACCATATATGCATTAATTTTTTGTATAAACTATTAATCAGATTATATTTGCTGTGGCTTCCGTTTGGTTAAGTTCATTATTTATAGCCAGAAAATTGCTTTTCTATGTTTACTTTAAAGTTTTAAGAAATAAAGGTTAAATCTAATATTCTTCACGGTCTAGAAGAACGTATTTTCCAGGACTGCGACCGCGAAAACTATCTCCTTTGCTAAATTTTTCAGCAGTGCCTCCTAGAAAAGGAGAGCCAGCTATGGGCTTGGCACATGCACAAACACACGTCAGGTTTTCTGATCGGGGCTGGAATTTTATCGCTGCACTAATTGCGCTAATGGCCGTAGTTTGAGAGGAAAATGCCGCAGATTATTGTGGACAACAACGGCAATTTTTTGCCGTAGTATAAATTTTAGGAATATGTTTAGTTGTCTGTAAAGAAAATTTGAGACATTTCTTTATTTATTTCAAAAATATTGTAGAATTTTACATATTAAAATATGAGAATGGGAAATTGACAAATAAATACATCGCTTTTAGCGGCTGCATTGAAGAAACAGAGAATGATGAAAATGGTAAATTTAATTCCTAATGTAACGGAAATTTTATTTTAGGGAAATTGCAGCAACACGAAGGACCATTTGATGAAAATGATAGATCAGGGTGAAATGCCATGACTGGAGAAAACTTAGTTGGGAGGTTCTCCCGACGGTTTTGTAGAGTTTCGAGGTCCAATTGATTCAATGCGTATCGATCTAAACTATAGACCATGTCAAAGGCACATATACAGTATACCCAATAGATTCAGGTAAACTGAACGTACTGAAAGCCAACATACCATAAATTCCAAGAAAGCAAGGTCTTCTTAGCAGTTTTCCAGCCACTAAACAATTGCATAAAACTTGCTCGTGTTTCAGTTATCACAGGTTTTTGCAGTGCAAGATCATCTGGTAATGGTCGTTTGTTCATTCTGGAAATTTTGGCAAGAACTGTTTTCGCTTCGTCTTCTTTACCCTTCGATAACAACCATCGGGGAGATTCTGGTATCAGCCTGACAAAACAGAAGGTTGTTTTAATACATACGTAACAGCTACCACGCATAGACGTATATACGAATCAATGTGCCCCCTAATTTCAATCTGAAGAGAACAACTATGTATGAGACTAATTGTTTATAACGTTTGCGTTCACTCATGCACTCAGACGATATTTGACATTGACTTTTAACATATCTACGGGATATGATGGCTTCCTACGGGTATCTGTAATGTACAGAAACTAGTTACCAATGAAATCAAACCAAATCAGTTTATTTGCCAAAGATAAATGAAGGCAAGTTAACCCATAGGAAACCAAAAGGCTGATTAATAATATTGGACTCTGTTATCTTATAAATTTAATTAAAAGATGACCATGGAAGTAGCATCATCTATGGAGGTAGCATAAAGCCAGGAAGGCGGACTTGTGGCAAGTGAAATATCAAATAATAACATTACTATTTACTATTATTGCAATTCGATAAAGATAAGAAATTAAAAATTGTGTGTGGTGAGGCATTTGTCTCAATTTTAATTGGCACTTTCTATTGTACCACCATGCACTGAAGAAAAAAATAAGTTTGCTGGTACAGTGGCGGAGACCCTTTGACCAGAAGTTATAAACCCTATAAGATTACAAATCTTGTACATGATCGCTAAATAACTGCATGTATTAGCATATACTGAGCAGGAGGATAGTGCGTTTTGGAGGCGCTCAATTATGTAAATTTTCGGCGAACAATCAATATTTTCTTTGCGTTTCCTCGACGGAAACCATGGTGAAAACGTGCATGAGTGATTCACATCACATGAAAATGCTCATCGGAAAAACTCGTTATCTGTCGTATTTTACGAATCTTCCACGTGATTTACGACCACCGGTACGCTCACCGCGACGACATGAAGTTTCGAGCATGCCATATATGGCATGCAACAAAAAGGATCCGCTTTTGACGTCATACACAGGACAACCCGGACAACCCAAGAAATTTAAGTCAGTGTGCGCCAAATGCCACTCCACCATCGTCCTCTCGCTAGTTTATCAGTAAGAACATGTTGTTAACAGTTAGCCAAAGCCAATAGTTATGTAAAGTATTGTTATGGTATGTATTTGGGAATCCGCGCGCTATTGGAGATTATCTCTCTGGTCGTCTCCTGTCTGTTCTGTATGTAAACTATGTAATATTGTCTAATGGTTTAGTGGTATTTATGTTTGTGTGTGTGGCAAATCTTGTAAAATAAAATAAAATAAAAATACACAGGCATTTAAATTTCTTAATTTAATTTGTTATGCCTTGATATTGATATCTTTCAAAAGGCTTAGTCACGAATTTGATAGAAATTACGTAAAATGTGAAAATGATAAAACTAATAACTTGAATAAAAGAGTAAAAACAAGAAGAGAAATAAAAAGTTAAATATGACGTCAGCACCAGACATTTTGACTTTGACAATATGGATTCTGTTGCGCAGGCTCAGGAAATCTTAAAGTGCACAAAATATTCAAACTTACCACCAGAAAAAGAAAACAGGTATTGCGGCGATAGCTGTCACAAGCAAGAACATTCTCCATGCAGGAATTAAGTATCCAATCAGAGGCATTATCGATATTCCCACAGCCCAATATACGCAGGACCCAATCCCCAACCAAGTACGATATTTTTCAGTTGTGAATTCCGTAATCAGGGGAAAACTAGCGGTATTTCGAAACCCTGTGAAAAACATAGATCCGACTATATAAATCACTAATCTGGAAACAACCCAGCGGGCAAAATGACGTTTATCCAACGTTGAATCAACGTTGGAAATGACCTTCCAGACGTTGGATAGACGTTGAAAAAGGGTTGACTATGCAAATTGGATCGACGTTACTGTTTCGACGTTGAAACAACGTTGAAATTAGGTTGCCAATCTCGTCAACCATAATTCAACGTTGAATCCACGTTAAAACAACGTTGAGATTGGTTCACAAATCGACGTCGTACATTTAACCATGAATGAACGTTAATTCAACGTCTGTTGGCTGTTGTTGAACCAATGTTTGTAAAACAACGTCAGAGCAACGTAGATATTAGGTTGTCGACGTCGCAACCTTTTTTCTACCAAATTTCAACGTTGAAACAACGTCGTGTGCCCGGTGGGAAGTAAGTTTTACCTGTAACTGTATTAATTCTTGTTGTAAATAGCCCGCGTGCAGGCCCAAGGGAAGAATAGTGGGCCTGCAAGCAAGGGCCGGTATTTTGTAAAACGCCCCTTTTCATAACACGCCCCATTCGCGCGTCAATTGTCAAAAAAGAACCAATGACAGCAACCCAAATAGTAACAAACAAACTCGCATTAAAATGTTGCGGGGTTTTCTCTGCTTATTCAAAATAGAAACAATGTGTAAATAGCTGTGTTTTCAACTCCAAAAAAGCAAGCAACGCAGTAATTGCCAAATTTGCAAGTGCTCATTATCAACTAAAATCGGAACAGGCAAATTAGGACGAATTTCAGCAGAAAATCAGTCGCAAACTTCAAATCGTGAGGGAAGTCGTGCGACCACATTAGCATTAATGTGTGCTTCGCTGTCGTCATTGTTATAAATGAATTGTCTCACTTATCGGATCGTGTGTGAAATTTTTGTTGGCGGCGGAAAGTACGAAATTTATTTCAGTTATTTCATCTGGTAAAGAACTCTACAAAAGAACTTAAAGAAAAGAGCGCTCAGAGCCGTCCAGATCGTTTCATTTCATTTCATTTCAAACGGCAATTACCGGCGTATTCTGTTTCGGTCTCTCAGCGAAGCCTTGCAAATCACAAAGTGTTTCGAATAGGCTTACATGCAACTGCCTCTAAATCTTCACCGCAAAAAGCGCTGTTTTATCCCAGTCGTAATGTTGCTATTCCAATACTTCACGACAAGCAATCCCCATTGGCATAACGGCAAAAACATCTTTTCCTTCAAGTAAACAATAAACAGTCTGTTCTTGTTCCATTTTTAATCCAAAAAAGTTATCAATTTTCGAATTTTAAGCTTATCGAAAGCCTTTGTGATGAATCACTGATCTAATTATAGAATCCAAGAGCAAACAGCCAATCAAAATGCCGTACAAAATACGTAAAGTACAAAATACCGGGCCTTGCTTGCAGGCCCACTATTCTTCCCCTGGGCCTGCACGCGGGCTATGTTGTAAATAAATTAACTGTACTGCGCTCTTATCATTCTGATGTATATAGCGCATAAATTATTATTAGGGACCGGTCATTATTATGTCAATATAATATTGAATCAATCAGAGTCACTATCTTGATCACTTTCCGATTTGTCAGGAGAGAAACTAACATGTGCAGACATGTGTGACAACTAAATGGTATCCTTTTGTAAAGTTTTTGGCCAGGGGTGGCTTTTTATTTTTTAATTAATATTTGAGGTTGGGTTATCAAATTTTTGACTTTTTAATGGTTGGGTCAGCAAAATATTTGCCACGAAAAAGCTTTCTCTTCGGTGCTACCCCCGCCATAAATAATGACCGATCCCTTAACTCAAAACAAAACTCTCAAAGCAGAAAGTATGGAGCTATTACTTATAAAACGGTTCCAGAATGATGTTTTAAATACAATCTTTGCTTATAACAATATTCATATTCGCACTACGTTTAAACTCAGTGTTCAATATTCCATATTCGTTTTCATATCCGAAAAAAGCGATACATGCAGGATGTCAATTAAAATGGCTTCCTCAACGCAAATTTATACGCCCACACCTTAAAGGGAAATGGCAATATAAATTTTTATTTTCTAATTTGAAAGAGCTTTTGAAACTATATATTAACTTATTTTACCGATTTTTCATATCTTGCTTAGTTCTTGAAATATTTTCACTTGAAGTAATGAGATGTCCGCTATCTTGAATATGTTTTTGATCTCATCAACGGTAGTTTTGGTGACGTCACAACAGGGATTAACCGCATAAAAGTATTCGTTGCTGACCAGATATTGATTGGTAGATGAATTAAAGGTTTTGAGTGATCTTGATATTTCGAAGGGTCCGGCATGCAGACAGAGTATAGTTTTGAGTGTAAAATGATTAGTGGTTGTCTAGCTAGATAAAAAAAATATTGCTACAAAAATTGAAGATTGCGGACATTTCATTCTTTTCGACCAAAATATTTGTAGAAGTAAGCAAGATACGAAAAAACGGTAAAGAAACATGTAAAAAGACGCTTTGATATCGCGCATGCCAAGTTGAACCAAAAACAAACGGCATTTAATCTGATAATTATATAATGCAATTGACCTTCTTGTTTCTACTAGCCATATTGTCGATATTGGATCACATAGATGACTCGAATTTTTCATTCAACAGTGCGGTCTGAAACAAAATGAGCTAAGTAGCTACTGCAAGAACTTGCCATTCTTTACCCGTACCATGTTTTATCCTTGTTCGGACTACCTGTTTACAAATGTCGAGCACGGACAAATTTGGTATCGGTACCAATATTATCCGTAGCGGTACCGAATCAAAAATTGAGCGTGGTGTAAACGTGGCTTGATATTTTCTTCATGAAGCTCTAGCAGAAAGTGTAAACAAGACTTACACTCAGCAAAATAAAAGTGTAATGAAAATCAAGACTAAGTGTAACTCAGTGTGACTTCCCAGTTCTAGCTTGTGACAAGAATAAAGCGATGAAATTCCTAAGTTTATACCTTTAGCCGTTCCCTTATAGTAAATGTTATTTTTTCTTGTATTTACTCCTATGAATCCTATTATTTTGGCAGACATTTCCCTGCCATTTTCCTGGAGTCGCGCATGCGCTTGACGTTTAAGAGGCAGTCTCTGTAAGAACCTCATGACCTCTTTGGATCAACAAATAGATTTCTCTCAAACTTTGTAGTCGAGATTGCCTTTATAAGGGTTGTTTCAAAATGCATTTTGTTGTCAGTCTAATTGCATTTTGGCAAAGTTCCAGGGGGGTCAAGTTGAGGGCTAAATTTACGATTTTTGCTGTTCTCAATAGTGGATTTTTGCTGATTTTTAAACCTCTGTACATCAAACAAAAATAATCATAAAACTAAATCTTTCCAGACAATAGTAGCTTTATATGTCTTAAGTAACAAGGTATCTATAAATTTTTCAAATTTGTTTTCTAAATATAGAAATGACATCATTCATGATAGACTAAAATAGAAATTTCCAAGTTCCTTAAAAATGGGTGAAATAAAAACCCTAAAATTCAAAAGTTAGACTTGCTATGAATGTAGTATTATTTGTATGGTGAGATTAAAGGTTGGTCTTACATAATATAAAATAAAATATTGCGGCCTGTAAATTTTGGAGGTACTGCAGGCCAACAAAACGTCAACATTTTCGACTTTCGGCAGTTTGGAGCAAATAAGAACGTTCATGTTTACTGTAAACTCTGCTTTGAAAGAGCAAAATTTTACATATTATTGGACCTAGAACAGTGATGAACATTCGTTTGACCTTTACTGTTGTCTAAAGTCTTTTAGGGAAAAGCACTGACACAGGCATTTCCGTTATGTATGGACGTAATGGACCGTATTGTATAAATAATAAACATTTTCTAGCTGAATATAATCAAGACAAGTTATACATTTGCATCATGTAAAGACGTCCGTTAGTAAACAAATTATCAAACATCGATTTATGTTGAAGATTTATTTAGAAAGTCAAGAGAAAACCTACCCCAATATAATTGATACAAAGTATGCCTCGATCATAGCCTTGTCATTCAATGACCCCGATTGTCAGTTGACTTATTATTTGACGTTCGTTAGCTTCCATTATTCTTTAGTGTTAATCACTTTCAATATCTTAATGATTATTGTAGACACAGTCTCGTATATAAATCGTGATTCTTCGTCCGAACAGGCAATGTTAGTCAATTCCTCCATCGTTTAATTTTACTCGTTTTGTTATTGTTATGGCGGAAGCCGCTGACCAGCTAAATAATCCGGCTGTCAAAACACATGCAACATGTCGAGAATTGTTTGCTTTCACACCGAAAATTTACCGCAAGACTATTTCCACAGGTGATTTTTGACTTTTTAAATTTTGTGAAAACACATGCAGCTGAAATAAAAAAATATATCTAAATTTTGTATAATTTCACGGTTTTGATATTAACTTGCTTTCATATAAACTTGCTTGCGTGTTGCGTTAATATACAGGGTGTATAAAAAAAAACGCAACCTCGGAATTTCCTAAGAAATCACTTTGCAATTCTTAAGCATAAAAGATTTTAGGCCCCTGGGAATTGAAATCTAATTGCTAATAGATCATATTACTGTTGTTGTGCATTAAATAAATGCATAAATTTTCTTTTATGCACTCGCGTGTGCAGTAATTTTGACAGTTGTGGCTATTTTAAATTCCCAGGCGCCTAAGATCTTTTGTCTTTAAAACAATATCGATTTCTTGGGAAATTCCGAGGTTGTGTTTTTTTTTTATACACCCTGTATAAGTAACTTGTGAATTACGCCAACGTAACGAATTGAAAAAATTGAATGTCAAAATGCTGAAAGAAATCTGCAGCGAATTAGAAGTACATATATATATATATACAGGGACGCCGGAACGATAATAGGGCAAAGGGGGGCGGACGCACACCAAGGGCACCTTTACTGAAAAATTTTTTTTCATTGCAAAATTTTTTGGCGAGTGTAATTTTTTCGGTCAGTGTACCATTTTAGGGGTCAAAAATTTTTTCCGGACATACAAAAATTTTCCGTGCAGCCAAAAATTTTTCCGCATATCTTAAATTTTCGCCATTTCTTCCAAATATTTTTGTAAATTCCAAAAATTTGCCAAAATTTTTATAAATATAAACTATAAATTACCTGAATCTCGTGATTTTCCTACAAAAAGCATCGTTGGAAATGTGATTTATCACATATTATTTTACAACTAAAAGGGCACTTCTGCCCCCCCCTAGCAAAAGGCAAGGGGGGCAGCCTCCCCCCCTGCCCCCCCCCCAGTTCCGGCGTCCCTGTATATATATGCAAAACTTTATTATTATTAAAGTAATATTTTAACAGCTTCCATCACATACGTGGTTTTCAGGGAGGTTCTGCAAATAAATTACAATATAGCTAATAGTAATACGTTATAATATATCTTTCTGAAGTATATGTACTAGGAAATTACGATGTAAAAAGTAAAATAAGTCACTACTATAATCCAAAGTTCTTGATATGTTTATAAGTTATAAGGAAATCGTTTTCTCAAATAGAATTGGGTAAATTGTTCCAATCCTTAAAAAGGTAATCTCTATTTTAATGAAAATCTCTATTTTAGTCTGTCACGAATGAAACAGACTAAATGTAATTTTTCTAAATAAAGAAACATTTCTATACTTAGAAAATATATTTTAAAAAATTATAGATTCCTTGATACTTAGGACATACCAAGCTACTATTGTGCGGGAGGATACAGGTTTATCATGATATTTGTTTGATGGAAGCAAAATTTTCCAAGGCTGTAAATATCTCTATCGTGCACAAACCCGCCCTGTACGTTTGACAATCGAATTATTTGGCTGGTCAGCGGCCTCCGCCATAACAACAACAAAATCGAGTTATATAAACGATGGACTGATGGAGGAATTGACTAACATTGCCTGTTCGGACGAAGAATCACGATTTATATACGAGACTGTGTCTACAATAATCATTAAGATATCGAAAGTGATTAACACTAAAGAATAATGGAAGCTAACGAACGTCAAATAATAAGTCAACTGACAATCGGGGTCATTGAATGACAAGGCTATGATCGAGGCATACTTTGTATCAATTATATTGGGGTAGGTTTTCTCTTGACTTTCTAAATAAATCTTCAACATAAATCGATGTTTGATAATTTGTTTACTAACGGACGTCTTTACATGATGCAAATGTATAACTTGTCTTGATTATATTCAGCTAGAAAATGTTTATTATTTATACAATACGGTCCATTACGTCCATACATAACGGAAATGCCTGTGTCAGTGCTTTTCCCTAAAAGACTTTAGACAACAGTAAAGGTCAAACGAATGTTCATCACTGTTCTAGGTCCAATAATATGTAAAATTTTGCTCTTTCAAAGCAGAGTTTACAGTAAACATGAACGTTCTTATTTGCTCCAAACTGCCGAAAGTCGAAAATGTTGATGTTTTGTTGGCCTGTAGTACCTCCAAAATTTACAGGCCGCAATATTTTATTTTATATTATGTAAGACCAACCTTTAATCTCACCATACAAATAATATTACATTCATAGCAAGTCTAACTTTTGAATTTTAGGGTTTTTATTTCACCCATTTTTAAGGAACTTGGAAATTTCTATTTTAGTCTATCATGAATGATGTCATTTCTATATTTAGAAAACAAATTTGAAAAATTTATAGATACCTTGTTACTTAAGACATATAAAGCTACTATTGTCTGGAAAGATTTAGTTTTATGATTATTTTTGTTTGATGTACAGAGGTTTAAAAATCAGCAAAAATCCACTATTGAGAAACAGCAAAAATCGTAATTTTTTCCCTCAACTTGACCCCCCTGGAACTTTGCCAAAATGCAATTAGACTGAAAACAAAATGCATTTCGAAACAACCCTTATAAAGGCAATCTCAACTACAAAGTTTGAGAGAAATCTATTTGTTGATCCAAAGAGGTCATGAGGTTCTTACAGAGACTGCCTCTTAAATTTGACGGTGTTGGTGTTGTTAGCTATACGTTTCTGGTTATTGATGGAAAAGTGAATACTGTAGTCTCTTAGTATTGGTCACTGACTGAATTCAGACCTCGCGAATGCTGATTTATTTTCAAATCAGTCCCTGCCTACCTGCACCGATACCAATGAAAACGCGGCAAACAATGAACACCACAAAGGCTTTTGGGAAGATCATAATCCAAGTCGCAACGGCGACAAGAGCACAACCACAATACAAAACAATTCGTCGGCCAAACGTATCTGATATAAAACCGCCAATCAATAAGGAAATCAACATTCCAACCCAGAAACACGATTGAGCGATAGATAGAACAATCGAATTATCGCAAATTAGGTCGTACTGCAACGAGAAATGACATGTGTTGCTTCAGATTAGGTTAAATAATTACATTTGTTCCTTTCTATAATCTCACCGTCATGGGCATAGTAGAAGACTAAATTGTTGTACTGGCAACATTGTATACTAGTCAAGTTTCTCGAAATATGGTGAATCAGTTACGAAAAATTCACACTTGAGAAATAAGATAAGCTTCTTAATTTGTTGGAAAACAGTTTTGCCTTTTTTGGGAAGGAATCCAAACCAATTAATTATTTTGTAACCGTTACTATGTTTCCAAGTCTGTGTAAATGAGAAAACATTCGAAATACATGATTTTGCAAATGTTTAAGCCACACGTTTCCCAACTTATCCGGGGCTTTCGTTTTGTGTTACTACTATGAACTGTAACTTCATGACGTAATTATGTCATTGTTCTCCACTTGCATCTGAGCTATATATATTCCTCCTCTTCCTGCATCTCCACTTCCTGCATCTGACTTACTACAGTTGACAAGTTGGAATGGAACTGCTCCTAATCCTTACAGTACTTCCAATCCTTACTCTAGCACTTATTCAAAAAAGTTATTACCTACTTACTATATTGAAAAGTCACCCGCATATTTAGAGAAGTTCATATTTTACAGATTCCTACCTCAGTAACAGTTGATGTAAAGTCATCTGCAAACGTCCAAGCTTCTCTCGGCATTTTACATCTTGCTTTGTAATCATCACTGGTTAATGTTATTGATTTATTAAATCTACATACGGTATTATTCATATATCCATCAACACATTTCCATTCTGGCTCTGCTGTAATAAACGTCACTATCATGACAGGAAACGCAGAAATTGACAATAGTACATAACCAAAAATGGTAAAAAGGTACCATTGATATTGACGAAATTCACCAATCTTTATAAAAACGTCATCAATTGTAGAAGCCATTGTGCACTCTGCCCTAAAATTGCCTAAAAATTAGAGAAAATTGTTAAAAACGAAAACATTTCATTCCTTCGGAATAGTATATGTATGGTCAAACCTCTCCTTATAGATATTTCTGTATCATAGGAACGCCTCTCTATTAGTCTCTGATGTCCCGTACCTACCTTAATAGGGACACTTTTGCTGTGCCTATTCAATATTCTGTACGAGGTTCGACTGTATTTGACCTTGCCAATATACACTAACTTCTAACACTTAAAGCTGAACATTTTCGTTCACGTTGTTTTAACATATGTTACGAAAGTATATCTAAATACTATAAAAATAGTTCAATTTGCACCCCAGGTGATTATAAATACTAGTTACGTCAAATGGAGAGATAATGAGCATTTTTGCTGTAAAACGCAGATAAAGTATATATCATTTTGGACTTGTGTAAAAGTGTCAATTATCTGTCCATTAGGCAAGATAAATAATTTGTCAAACTGTCAAAGTTGGACGATAACCTTGCATGGTGGCCTGTTGTGTTTACATAATTCAAAGTCAACGGCTGGTTCTTCTTTGACAATGCGTGCCAATAAATTGCCCATATAAGTAGGACATTTGCTGTGATCTACTCTAATGCGCATATCAAATATAGACAAGCATTTCAAATTTAGATCATTTTTAGACCTGAATTGATGTAAACAAAAATATAAAGTCCATATAAACGCATGGAGGGATATAATACATAATAAAATGCAAATAATGCTATATCAAGAAATGCGATACATCAGGCACGATCTTCCACAGCGGTCTGTAGTGTTGGCCTTTGCGAGATTCCATTATGCAACAACAAACAACGTTAGCATCCTTTTATTGACTCTGAAACTCACGGAATATGCTGCGCAATCGTTTATCTTTGGTTTAAGCTTAATATGGAGGGGCCTGTACCGGTTTTGCGGGATGGCGGAATGCGTCTAAAATTCAAGTGGGATTTGGGATTTTAAGAGAAATATTGGCGGGAAGCGGGATTTTATTCCATCGTGGGAATTGCGATTAATAAAATACCATGGCGATATCAAGGAAGTAACCCGCGATTAGCGGGATAAATCAACAAAACTTGTAGCCGTACGTTAGCTGATCTGTTGTCATTTGTTTGTGTGCTCGAAATTTACGGTTTTCAAGGATGATATCGACCATTTGTCCCCCATCAATCCCCATTTACATGTATGATTGCTACTTTCAGAAAGCCTGTTTTCCACTAGGCGGAATTTTGCGTGCGAAGCGGAATTTTTCTTTGTCTTTTCTAATTGGTTCCACCCGAGAAATCACAAGACAAAGAAAAATTCCACTCCGCGCGCAAAATTCCGCCTAATGGAAAACCGGCTTTAGAGTCGCGATTTAGAGTCATTTATTATTTTAAACTTTGTTGTATTGTATTCTAGTGTATTCAAATTGTATTTTATGTCGTTACCATATTCTTTAAATCATAATACGTTGAACAGTGTTAGAAAAAAGTCGGGAGCGGGAAATTGGGATGAGGCATGGCAGGATAACGGGATTTGAAATGAAAATCGGTCGGGACGGCGGGATTTCGCAACCCGGTACAGGCCCCTCTAATATGATGTGCTAATTATACGTCCAGTTGAGCGTGAATTCTTTAAAACCAGGCAATATAAGAACGACCAAATGCGCAGATAGCGCCTGTGTTTACACGCAGACTTGATTGAAGAAATACGAATTTTGCCACCAGATATTTAGGTCGAAACAACAATAATTTAGTATCGAAATGCTCGTAACAGTGAAGCGATTCTGAATTCGACCGTACTTTTCAGACTACGCATGCTCCGATTGAGATATGCCGCTTTTTTGTCTGACCGCGCACCTACTTCGCGTCACAACATATGGATTTATTCTATCGGATTACAAAGTTTCGAAACGATTTTGCCACTAGCATATTCTTCATTTTCTGGCAAATTTTGACCTTTATAGATAGAATTATGGACATATTTTATGTATCCGTTCGTACTTTTCAGAAAAGCAATAAAAATAATCATTAATGATAGCGGTTTTGTTCATGATTTTGGCGTTTTGCAACCATTTATCGCTGAAATTTCTTGCCATGAAAATGTGCATGCTGAGGGCATTTCTGTCAATCATTCTTCGGTATATTTCGCGCGGTTGAGTAATGATAATATTACGTCATCAAAATCTTGGTTCAATAAAATTGGAAATTAAACGAGACTTACCTGTAAGTCGAAGTTTGATTGTAATTCTATAAGTCATTAGCGAGGAGTGGAGGAGTTGTAGGAGAGACAGTACCGCGCATGAGTTAACCAGTATTTAGAGCATTAATATTGGTACAATGCCTGGAGTGGAGGAGGTAATCGGGCCTGGGTGTAATTTCACGGGTGGGCCTACAACTCCTCCACTCCTCGCTAATGACTTATAGAATTACAATCAAACTTCGACTT